CGCTTCCTCTTCCTCTTCGATTGCGACAATAAAAGGGCGAAAGAGTTCTCTGGCTTTTTCTTCTTCCTCTTTTCCTTCCTTCCTTCCTCCTTTCCCCACCCCTCCACCCGCGATTGTCAGGTGTGGCTTTTCGACTTCATAGAGTTCTGCTTATAGGAGTTGCCGCCGGTTGGATCGTTTTCAGAGTTGTGCCCTTTGGCCCAGAGGTGCAAACAAATGTTGGTGCGTGTGTAAGTAAGGGAACAGTTTGCGAAGCAGGCGAACGTGGTCTCGAGGATGGGAAGTCCCCCACCGAGAGTGAGGAGAGTTGTTGTCGAAGCATGTCACGCCTTTCCAACCACCGAAGAAAAACGCAACCAGGAAATCGAGAGCGCCGCCTTAAAGTTAAAAGGTGGCAGACAGGCCCGAGAAAATACGGCAAAACTCAACTCTTTTTCCAAGTGTGTGTGGTGGTTTTATTCCCCCCTCCCCCCCCCAGCAGCAGCTTTCCATAGTATATTGCACTGCCGGCGGGGACGGCTGATAAAGCTTGCAAGTGTGAGCTTGATTTTTCAGCTGATGAAGTCTGTTAACTAGGAGTTGATTGGAACTCTCTCATAGCCATGAAAGTTAGACCTTTTTGGGGGGCTGATAAAATGTTTAAATACAGTAATGGCTGAAAGATAGCTGCTCGTACCTTGGTCTTTGTGCTTCTGTCTTGAGACTCCAGTGTTTTATTTATTTATTCCTAAAGCTCCTCATCTAAGCCAAGCAACTCAGGTGGCTGACAGTTCTAAAACTATAAAACAGCTAACACAATACAACAATAAAAGCATCCAAAAAATAGCTTCTGCTCTATTGACTGTTTTTATCATTCATTGAAGTATGTATTTTAAGTTTTGAGAAGCAATATTAATTAGGTATCTCTTTCCGAGATAGGATTTCTAGTATTCTGAACATAATTTTCACACTAATTATTTGAATGTTGCTTGCCTGAGGTGTCACAGTTTTGGTAAGAAAATAGGATTAGAAACATTTGTGTAGGTGTTCTGTTCTGATTTAGTAATACAACAATCTCTCTTCACATTTATCTAAGCAAGGAAGTATCTTAAGTATAATGAATTTAATTTATTGGTAATGACCATTAGGTCTAAACAAATATGAAAATTTATTTTCAAGCCTTACTGAATGTAGGAATATTGCAAATGGTATTACTACTTTTTGTTTTAAGACTGCATTGCTATAACAATTTACTTGAAGAAATAATTAGGTATGTAATATGATAATAGGAGGAGGTAGGTATATAATTTTAGTATAGTTTAACTCCAAAACTTATTAAATTTATGTTCTTAATCTGTAATTCTTATATAGAAATTCAATGGCAGCTTGAAATTACTGGGTTATCTTTATTGCACATTAATTTCTTTTAATTGAGCATGTTGAACATTGTATTGTAAACGCATAATATTTCATATTCTATTATGAGAAGCTGGACATATAACATACCATCTTGGAAATTTTAAGGACGTATATCAATTATATGATTAGATCATGTTGAACTTTATTTCTAAAAAGATATCAAACATTTTTTTTTGAAATATGGCATTTCCCTTTGTCATCTGGGTTTGGTATTAATGCAAACATTTTCTTTAGGAAATAGAAAACACTAATACAATTAGCTCACACTTCTTTCCTTGTTTTTTTACTCTTATCTTTCTTGCATTTCATACATGTAATATGGCAAAAAATAATACCATGCATGTTTTAATTATGCTCTGTGAGACACCCAGAGGCTACTTGACAGGGAAGTTATATTAAATCTAATAAATAATATATTTAAAGCAAAGGAAACTGGGATACTCGCAATCTGCGTGTGTAGTGCACACTCCTTGGGGAGGGGTTTTCTAATGGATTAGAATATGTTGCTTGTGCCTTTATATATAGATACACTGTCTGGTCCATGCAAAGAGGAATTGGCTGGAAGCAGGAAATGCTTAAAATGGTACTAGTTTTGCTTAGATGGCTCATTCTAAAATGGGGAATAACAACGTGACCACATAGAACTTTTTGATAATAATGATTAAACATGATTTATTAAGAATATATATTTATTTTACTAACTCTGGTACCCCGACAATCAATTTGAGACTCTGTATTTCCTGAAAATTCTAAATAAGTATACAAGCCCCACCTATATGACTGAGCAGATAGATTTTAAATATTTTCCTTTTATGAATGTGTTTTAAGATTTGTATGAGGAGTTTTAATTTCTATGATTTGGGACGCTTTTGTGGATATACAAGAAACAAGGTTTTTAGTGGCTACTCACGGGTTTTGCAAATTCCTTGTCAAGGAATTCACATGTTACATTCAAATTAAATCAATTATAAAATATTTATATTTGATATAACATGAATTTGATTTTTTTCACTTAGAAAAATATGTCATTTCAAATCTAAGATAAACATACTTTTTTTAGAAGTTCTGTCAACCTGTCTGAGTAAGCTTGGGTTTTGTAAAACTAAAACCCAGAATGTTTTTTGGGTGCTTTTTGTTTTAGGCCAAACAAAATCTGAAATCTTACAGAGTGAATAGAATAAGACTACTGTACCTTGCCCTTCCTCCCTGCCATTGCTGTGCCATTTGCTAATATTCTCAGTGCTTCTCTCCCCCCCCCCTCTCTTTTAACAACTGGTAACTTGACACTTTCTCTTCTGCACATCCTATGTAGTGGATTGGCCATTAGCCTTCCACCACTTAACTGCCATTGTTAGCTTTTTTACTTCCTCCAAAACACTTTTGCCGGAATAGACATTAGTCTATAGTGGAATGCTTCATAGATTGTTTTAATGATGGTAATGTAGTTACAAACTCTACTTTCCTTTTTATATTTTCAAAGTTACATAACTTTCACACCATCTGAAATAAAACATATTTTTCTTTATACTATTCAAGGCTATAGAAATAGGTATGGTATTGTTATCAAATGTTCAGTTGATTCGATCTGTATTAAGAATTTTGCTCCTCTTATTTTCAGTTATTCACAAACTCATTTACAAATTTTCATTACATTACGTTAGTTTTTGGTAATAGCATTTCAAGCAATCCACTAATGTGTCCTATTGGGCATCTTCTGGGAAAATAAATTCTCTGTGCTCTCTGCTGAACAGCTGCTACAAAATGATTATTGTGACAGTTCTTTTCAATGTATGCCACATTGTCTTTTATTTCTAGAGCATTGAGGTGTAGGAGGTATATCACTTGAGGTATAGGAGATGCCTAATATAAGCACTGCAAATAGGGATACACAAAACATTCTGTGCATGCATTGTTCTGTATACAGAACAACTGCTTTTGGGTGCTTTGTGGCCCACCATTTTAAGTGTGCTTCAGTTATGAGGAGTAAAATAGTGTGTTGTTGTTTTTCTGGAAGATCAAAATACAATTGATCCAGGCAGAAGAGTTTGTTTTGGATTGGGGGGGGGGGAAGGGCCAAAGCTTGAGGGGTTTCTTTGGCAATCATATGTGTGGAGATCAGTAGCAACAATAGATTAGTAGCAAAGAGAAGGAAGGGAGGGCACTGGGTAGATTTGATAAGTAATGCATGGGACATCAGTGGTGTCTTGAGAGGTAGGAAAGGAAGAGGCCTGGAAATCGGTGGACAGGGCAGGAAGGTGTATGTGTAGCGTACAGCCTTGTTTTTACCCTTTCCATAAAATCACTGGGAACTGTCTGGATTTTGGCCAAAATGTGGAACAATCAAAACATTTGGATTTCATTTCTTTGCCATGGCTGAGTAATACTGGCTGTGCAGTACTTCTGGAATGTAATTTCCCCTTTTAAATGACCTATAACCCCATGTATATTCTTTTAGCCTGAATATTAGTTTCCTAATGCTAAATTTCTTCTGATCTTTTGTACACTGGCAATATACTCCATAGCAAACTTTTTATTAGGTGTTGAAAATTATTCTGAAACTTTGTGATAGTCTTTTCTATAAATATTCAGCAACGTACATTTCCTGATAGTATCAGTAAAGAAGAAACTGGTTCTTTCTTTGATAGGCAAAGATATGTCGCAATGGATATTGCTCTAGCCATCCAGATATAGGTTAACTATTATCCACTAGATATTTGACTTTTTAAATTTCTTCCTTACATTTATCTAATGATTATTCTGCAATATATACTCTGTTGGGTGAATTGTATCCTGATAAGAAATGACTGAACCCTATCAATGAGATCTGCAATTTCAACTATCTGGAGAGTTGGTATATAATCACACTAAGCAGTATTTATGAATTACAGTCCATGCTGCAATTTTATTACAAAGTTATTCATACTTGCTTCTTGTAGGATGGACTTTGTTTGCAGTGGAAGGATAAACTGCATCATCTGACATAGATGATGTAGCTGGAACACTGCTATCAGATGACTTTGAAATAGAAAACAAGCTCCATTTCACTGAAGCAGCAGTTCCAGTAGAAAGATTTTCATGCACACATGTGCTCAGAAGGTGAATGTGGCTTCAGAGAAGCCATGCTGGACCTCCAAAGAGCTTTAGCGGCAGGTTTGGAGGGGAATGCAGCCCTAATAAAAATTGATTAATATTAGAAAGTGGTGTGTGGATAATCAAGATAATGCCATATGTAGGCTCATCCAAACAAAAGAAAGCAATGTAACGATGGTACTGCTTTTTCAGTATTAAAAAGTACATACACAGACCAAACTGGAATCGTAAAATTCTTGTTTCTGTTAGATTTAAACAAAATAAATTACTACCAGAAAAGATACTCCTTAAAAATAGGAGCATGTAAGATGCTTAGTAAGTTGAACATAGACCTTGATTCTTTTCAACATTTTTGGGCTAAGATACTTCATTCAAGCATCCAGGCCTACTATTTTATTGCTGCATTATTTGCTTTTTTGTGCAGTTCCCTGTGTTTCCGCATAAGTAGCATATTTATTACAATTTCCTAAAAGTGATTGCTTTTATGATCTGCTACTTTGATTTGGTTTTAGTCAGTAGAAAGCTACCTTCAAGGCTACAAACTTCTTTTTCAAATCTTCTGCACTGCAGGCAAATGTATACGTCATATTTCACTTTCTATTCTTCTCATCCCTTTCATAAATCCAAAGTGTATTTCCATTTGAAATGATTTGTACCAATTTTATACCATTCTGAGTTTTCTGCATGGCCTGTATAGTGTTCTACTAATCGATCTTCAAGCAGTTTCCTTTCACTGCTGTTCCTTAGCTGATACCAATGTCCTTGACTTCAAGAATAACCAGACTGCCCCCCCCTCAATCATTTTAATGTTTCCTTTTCTCTACCTGACAATGACAGTGCTGCAACCAGTCAGGTTTTTTCCCTGGCTCTTCATTGAGCCTGCTGCCCCAAATACTAATGGACATAAATGTCCATTTGTCTGGACACAGATCACCCCAAAACATCTATTCTGAGCATGGACTGGTTCATGCATAGAACATCGTAAAAATATATAATACAGGTAGTCCTCAACTTACAACCACAATTGAGGCCAAAATTTTTGTTGCTGAGCAAAACATTTGTTAAATGAATTTTGTCCCAATTTATGACCTTTTGTGCCACAGTTGTTAAATGGATCTGGCTTCCTCATTGACTTTGCTTGTCGGAAGGTCACAAAAAGTGAGCATGTGACACTGGGGCACTGCAACTGTTATAAATATGAGTCAGTTGCTAAGCATCAATTTTTCATCATATGACTATGTGGATACTGCAATGGTTGTAAGTGTGAAAAACGATGATGAATCTCTTCAGTGCTGTTGTAACTTTGAATGGTCACTAAGTGAACTATTGTAAGTTGAGGATTACATGTATTTTCAAATATTATGCAGTGTTTTTTTTAACACAATCCTTGCTTTGAGCCTATAATCCAACAGTAAAAATACTAAAGCAAGCAAATCCAGATATGAGTTCTTAAAATTCTTTAACTGATTTTACAGTGGTCCAGTACATTATTCCTATGAAAGTCATTCGGGGAAAAAGAAAAACCAAAATGTCAGTTGATTCTAACTGATCTAGAAAAACCGGTTTTGCAGTTTGCCTTGCTCAGATGCAGCTAGGTGGAAAAGATGAGCAGCTTGAGGATACATCTGCTTCTTATAAGATTGTAAAACTAACCATATTGCAAAATGTTTAGTGTACTGTCAGTTCAAGTTTGCTATCTAATTTGAAAATGAATTCCACTGAATATATTGGCATGTTAAATATGACAACTTACTTTAAATATCATTTCATTTTTCATAACTATATTTTGCTTTTATATAATCACTTTAATGTGCAATAGTGAGATATATTTAATTTTATAGAGCTATAATTATGAGGCTCTTGGTAGTGTACAAAAAGCTATAAAACAATCAATGAAATATAAATGGCATGTTAAAGCCAGCGTATACTTTAAAATTGGATTCCTCATAAAAGAAAACAGTCACAAGATAGTTCCATCTTAACAATAAATAAAACACTGTCTGGAAGAGCTCTGTCTTCACTTGCATCCAGAAAATTTTCAATGTGAGGGAGGTTGAACTTTCATGTAAAGGCTTGTTCAGTACTATAGGAGCCATGACAGACTTCAGCCCTCTGAATTTTAGAGAACTGAGGAATTACAAGTGTAGAAATCGGATTTATGGAGTCAGATATTGAAAATTGATTGAAGTTGCATATAATTGTTCAGAAAAAAAATTAATTTGTTTCTAAACATTTTACCTTGGTTTTTGTGCTCAGTTCAATTATTTCAATAATCTAAGGCAGGGCTGTCAAATCCCCGGCCCAGAGGCCGGATGTGTCACATGCTAGCTGCGCCCACACCTGGTTTAGTGAAGGGGGAAAAGTCCTGATATGTCATGTGACACCAATGTGACAACGTTACTTTGACACCCCTGATCCAAGGTAATTGTTAATAAATACTTTAATAATACTGTACTATAACTGCTATGGTGTGAGTGAGCTTGGAATTGACAATGTAATGAAGTGTCTAAAATACATGATGTTTAGATTTCCCTTTCTTGTTTTAGCAGTTCTGCTTATTTGTAATTGCTTGAATGGTTGAAAAGAATATTCCCAATTGTTGTAAATAACATAGCACACTTGCTTCAAAATACATCTTAGCAGCTGCAAGTCCACACTACCATACTGGTAAAAACTTTCTATTAGAATAATCTAATAAACTATTAATTGATACGATTATTTTCCTGCTACTAATTTGAATAGGATGCAGTTAGTACTGCAGAATTTATAGCAGTTTCTATTCCTATTGCAGGCATGTAGCTGCATGAATCCAGCTGTCAGGTGCTGCTTCATTTAATAATCAGGAAAGAACGTGGCACGACAAAACCGCGCTCGTCAAAATAGCGNGATCTATAGATCAGTGTTTCTCAACCTTGGCCACTTGAAGATGTCCGGACTTCAACTCCTAGAATTCCCCAGCCAGCGAACGCTGGCTGGGGAATTCTGGGAGTTGAAGTCCCGGACATCTTCAAGTGGCCAAGGTTGAGAAACACTGACCTATAAGCAGGCTACAAATTCTGAACAAAGGTAGACAGTTCTGAACTGAGTTTTGCCCCATTTTGCCCGAGTTGTTAAGTGAAGCACTGCAGTTATTTAGTTAGTAATGTGGTTGTTAAGTGAACCTGGCTTCCCCATCATTAGCAGGTCACAAAAGGGGATCGATCAGGTGACCCTAGGACACTGCCGCAGTCATAAATGTGAGTCAGTTGCCAAGCATCTGAATTCTGATCAGGTTACTGTGGAGATGCCACAACCGTCGTGTGAAAACCGATCACAGTGCCGTTGTAACTTCAAACTGTCACTAAAAGAACTGTTGTAAGTCAAAGACTACCGGTGCTTGTCAGATGGATTAGTCGATGCCTCGGCCAGCTGTGAGTGTCGGACTAAACTTTTACCCCAACACGGAAGGAGAGAGAAGCGTTAAGTAGGCACCGCTTCCACCAAGGAAGGAGCTGATCCCGGACCCACCTCAGATTCCCAGCTCTGTCCCCAGAGGCCAGGTGCTGACCATCCGGGCTGATCTGCATCACCCGGACGCCGGATTTGACGTCAAGGTAGCCGACGTTGTCGTTTCGCTCCAGCAAATTCGTTGAGTCTTGCAAATACTGGATGCCCTTTTCCACGTAGACAACCTTCAGCAGGTTCTTTAGGGAGGAAACAGGACATCAGGCCACTTCGAAAGAGGGCCAGTTTCCTCTTCAGCCCCTTGAAATACACCCAACTTCATCGGGAGGGGGAGGAGGTTGGGGGGGAGCCGATCTTACAACCGCCAGGTGAGAAAGGCGGGGAAACTTACGTCGCTGTAGGCGTTCTTCTTGAAAGGTCCATGCGTGTTGTTTTCCAAGTTCCAGAACCGTATAGTGCTGTCCGAGGAACAGGTTAGGAAGGACCCTGGGGGCAAACAGCCTTGGTGGGCTTCAAACTCAGGATACACCTAAGCCCACAAGAGACAAATGAGAATATCAACACTGGTGACCTTCAGAGTCAGGAGAAACCAAAGATGGAGCCCGTGTGAATTCCTCGGTGTAAATTGTTTGGAAGGAACTGAAACTGGAGAAGGAATATCCCCAAATTCGCAAGAGACAGGTGAGAACATCACCATTGACGTTCTTCAAACTCAGGATAAACCAAAGATGGAGCTCATGGCACAAGGGTGAGATGGAGACATCAACACTGATGATCTTCAAACTCAGGATAAACCAAATATGGAGGTCATGCTACAAGAGGGCAAGTGGGACTATCAACACTCTAGAGCAGGGGTCTCCAACTTTGGCAACTTTAAGACTTGTGGACTTCTGGGAACTCTGGGAGTTGAAGTCCACAAGCCTTAGAATTGCCAAGGTTGGAGATCCCTGGGGATCTACTTCTTCTCATCCCTGCGGACCCGACCGTCCTTGTCACAGAATCAACGGGGGGCTGAGCTCTTGCAGACAAGGGAGGCCTGCTCAGGGAGCAGAGGACTTGCCTTCCGACTCGAGAGACTTTCTGGGGAAGCCACCCAGGATCTTAGCAAGTGACTAACGGAGGTGTCCCCCTCCGTCCCCAATGGGAGGAGCCCATTACCTCCACGTTCCAGACAAAGGAGCTGTGGAAGAGATCAGACCACACTTTCCGGGCGTGGCCAATGTCCTTCACGTCCCAAATGTAGACGCTGTGATCCTTGTACACGCAGGAGAGCCAGTGACGGCGAGGGTCGAAGACGACAGCGATGGCATCTGGAAAGGAGGCATCTGGCCTTCTGGAAAAAACACCAAAGACGGGCGGGGAAGGACAAGAGAATCAAATGTGCTGGATCGTAATTTCCACAAAACCTTTTAGCTGCTCTGGCTGAGATTTGGGGTGGGGGGGGAGCCGTTACTTGTGGAAAGATGGGTTCTTCCCAAAGAATCAAAAAGTCCATACTTGATGCTTACTCGGATGCAGGATTTGTAGCTAGGAAATAGCAAGGTTTGGGGGAGCCTGTATGATCTAGTGCAGTATTTCTCAACCTTGGCAACTTGAAGATGTCCGGACTTCAACTCCCAGAATTCCCCAGCCAGCATTCGC